ATAAAGAAATAAATATAAATTGTTGCTTAATTAGGAGGGAAAAGGAAGAAAAAGGGGGGGGCCCCCACGGATCTATACCCTCCGGTGTACGTATAGGCAAACCCTAAACCCTAAACCCTCCTTATAATTCTTTATTTTTCCTTATTATATTTATAATAATAATTGGGCCCTAAACCATTGGGGGTCCCCCAGGGAAGGGAATAAGGAGGAGGGGCCTCTAGAGGGGCCCCCAGGGGCCTCCCGTATGGTGCGCACATAGCTGAGCTCGTCAACATGCAGCAGCAGCTGTGGCAGACAGCAGCAGCAGGAGTCCCATCCACAGCAGGAGGAGGAGGAGCAGGAGCAGCAGCAACAGCAGCAACAACAGCCAGCAGCAACTCTATAGGAGAATCCCCCTATATATGGGCACCACCATCATCTGCCTCTGCCCTTGCAGCATCCTCGGGTACCGCCATGGGGGCCCCTATGGGTCCTAATATGGGGGCCCCTATGGGGCCCCCAATGGGTACATCTGTGGGTGCAATAATGGGTGCATCAATGGGTAGTACTGTAGGTGGAGGTGGAACCCCTTTGGGTGGCCCCTTGGGTACATCCCTGGGTGCCCCCTTGGGGGCCCCATTGGGGGCCCCGTTGGGGGGCCCCTTGGGGGCCCCCCCATTAAATGATAGTACCCTAAATAATAAGAGGGCAGTAAGGGTAATAAACCTAAAGGCAATGAGGGAATTAAGGATTGTATTAGCAGACCCACAAGAAAGAGAAGAAATAGATGAGGCAGCAGAGGATACACAACTTGTTGCTGTTAAGGTAATGTTGTTGCTGCTGTTGCTGCTGCTGTTGTTGCTGCTGTTGCTGTTGCTGCTGGTGTTGCTGCTCGTGCTGCTGTTGGTGGTGGTGGTACTGCTTTTGTATTGTTCTTGCTGCTGCTGTTGCTGCTGCTGCTGCTGTGTTGCTGCTGCAGCTGTTGGGGCCTCCAACAACAGATCGTGGTGGTGCTGCTCGTGGTGGTCGCACAGGATCAGCAGCAGCAGCAGCAGGAGCAGCAGCAGCAGCAGGAGCAGGTGGCCCAACAGCAGCAGGAGTTACCTCTTCATCAGTAATAGGTACATCATCCCCCCCCTCCTCCTCTTCTTCCTCTTCCTCATCAGGAGGAACAGGAGCAGCAGGAGGAGGAGGAGCAGCAGGAGGAGCAGCAGCAGCAGCAGCAGGAGCAGCAGAAATATTTGGCCTCGAGCTGCTGCCAGAGATAGAAGTATTTCTTCCTGCTGCAGCAAGGATCGCCATCTTTAGTTGGGGAGGATGCCAACTACAAATCAGAGGACCTGTGCAGCAAGTATGCTGCTGCTGCTGCTGCTGCTGCTGCTGCTGCTGCTGTTGCTGCTGTTGCTGCTGTTGCTGATGGTGCTGATGGTGGTGCAGCTGTTGCTGGTGTTGCTGCTGTCGTTGGTGCTGTTGCTGCTGCTCATGTTGCTACTGCTGCTACTGTTCCTGATGCTATTATTTGTGATCTTGTTCCTTCTGCGGTTGCTGCTGCTGCTGCTGCTGTTGCTGTTGCTGCTGCTGCTGCTGCTGCTGCTGCAGGAGTACGAGGCATCAGATCGTTTGATGTCCTTTTTGTTGAATTTAAGTTCTGTTTTGCATGCAAGAAGACAAGCAGCAGCAGCAGCACAAACAATAGGACCCAGGGTACGTTGTATACCAGCTAGCTAGCTAGCTAGCTAGCTAGTTATATAGCTAGCTAGATAGATAGTCAGCTAGCTAACCAGCTAACTACACAGCTAGCTAGGTGAATTGCCCTGTAGCTAGCCAGCTAGCTAGCTACATGGATAGCTAGCTATAGCAGCTAGTTAGGCACATTTATGAGCACAGGAGAAGAAGTAACCGTGGTTCTACTGCTGCTGCTGCTACTGCTACTGCTGCTGCTGCTGCTGCTGCTGCTGCTGCTGCAGGTATTAGTAACAGGCAGCGGAGGTAGCGGGAAGAGCAGCGTTTGCCAAATTCTTTGTAATTATGCCATGAGGGAAGGATGGACTCCCCTCTTCCTTGAATTAGATGCAAGGTACCCTTTTCTATACTCATTAGGGGCCCCCCCTTCAGGGGCCCCCCTTCAGGGGCCCCCCCTCAGAAGCCCCCTTAGATAATCTCCTTAACGATGGATGTACACGTTCTGAGCAACAAAGCGGTGTCTAGGGTTTATGGTTTATGGTCAAAAAATTTTTAGGGTTTAGGGATTAGGGTTTAGGGTTTAGGGTTTAGGGTTTAGGGTTTAGGGTGTATGCATGCGTTGCAGAGGGAGTTGTGATAAAAGTTCCCTACAAATGCCTCCCGGGTGTATAGGCTGCTGCGTCTGTCGGTCATTAGATGCGGATACACCTGAGGATCCTTTGTACTATTTTATAGGCAGCAGCAGCAGCTATGTACCTGAAGGAGACAGCAGCAGCAGCAGCAGCAGCGGATTTGCTGCTGCTGCTGCTGCTGCACCAGCACCCCCAGATGTTGAACTACCAGAGACTGATACCCCGTCATCATCAGATGCTGCAGCAGCAGCAGCAGCAGCAGAAACAGCAGCAGCAGCAGCATCATCAACAGACCCATCAACAGACCCATCAGCAGCATCAGCAGCAGCAGCAGCAGCAACAGCAGCAGCAGCAGCAGCAGCAGCAGGAGATAATGTATCAGATATATTATATAATAATCCTAATGAATTAAGTTATGAATTATTTTGTTGGTTATGTTGCTGCATAAGTAAATCTATTTATGCTGCATTTACTCAATCCTTGCTGCAGCAGCAAATGCATGCAGAGGATAAAGAAGACAGCAGCAGCAGCAGCAATTATCATGAGACACAACCTCCTTCTCTTGCTGCTTCAGGTAAATTTCTCCTTCACCTGCTGCTGCTGCTGCTGCTGCTGTAGCTAGCTAGCTAGCTAGCTAGCTAGCGGATAGTGGATATCTGTGTTAAGACATCTATCGTTGTTATTCCTGCTGCTGTTGCTGCTGCTATTGCTGCAATTGCTGCTGCTGCTGCTGCTGCTGCTGCAGGTATGATAGCGAATGCCCCTAAGGAAGTATCTGTGCAGCAACTGCAGCAATTAATAGATCTATTTATGTTTGATTTAGTAATTATATTAGATAATCCTTCTCTTTCTCATGAATTAGCTGGGGTGTATAGGCACCTATTACCTGATACTATAGAGGAAGCAACAGCACAACAGCAGCAAATGCAACAAATACAGCAGCAAATGCAGCAGCAAGTACAACAACAAATGCAACAACAAATGCAACAGATGCAACAAATACAGCAACAGCAGCAGAGACAGTATCTTGGTGCTGCTGCTGCTGCTGCTGCTGCAGCAGCAGCAGCAGCAAGTCATAGAGTAGAGGTCATTCCTCTACCTAAGCTTGAAGGGACAGTAGCGGTAAATATTCTCTCCTCTTTTTGTCTCCTTTTTTTGTCTCCTTTTTTTGTCTCCTTTTTTGTCTCCTTTTTTGTCTCCTTTTTTGTCTCTTTTTTTTGTCTCTTTTTTTGTCTCCTTTTTTTGTCTCCTTTTTTCTCCTCTTTTTGTCTCCTTTTTTGTCTCCTTTTTATTTATTTATTTATTTATTTATTATTGTCTCCTTTTTATCTATTTATTGTCTCCTTTTTATTTATTTATATTTTATTTTCTCTTTTTTATTATTTATATATGCTGTGTGTGTGCTGCTGCTGCTGCTGCTGCTGCTGTTGCTGCTGTTGCTGCAGCCTGACGGTGCGCGCATGCGTTTGCTGCGTCGTCTATGGATGCGTCGGTACTTCTTTGGGGTGTCTCCTCTTGCTGCTGCTGCCCCTGCTGCTGCTGCTGCACAAACTGTGCGGCTGCTGCTGTCGCGGTGTATTCTGCTGCAGCTAAAGCTAAGAGCTGCATTGCCTCTCTCTGCCCTTCCTGCAGGTACTGCAGCAGCAGCAGCAGCAGCAACTGCAGCAGCAGCAACACGAAAAGCAGCACCAACAACACTAACAGAAACACTAACACCAGCACCATCAGCAGCAGCAGCAGCCACACCAGCAGCAGCAGCAGCAGCAGCAGGCACACCATCAGCAGCAGTAGCAGCAGGAGGAGGAGGAGGTCTTGTATGTATATGTATGTATATACTCAGGGAGCGTAGCAACAAAGAGCTCAAGATTACAATGGGGCCCCTATAGGGGGCCCCCCATCAGTTTATTAAATGCAATATTAGCTGTACCCTCTACTACAAACCCTAAGGGTTTAGCTGCTGCTAATGTTGCATTTCTTGTTCATTGCTGCAGTGTTGAGGTAATTCATTATAAACCCTAAACCCTAAACCCTAAACCCTAAACACTAATTAGGTACTCATAGAGGTACTTGTTGGATATAAACCCTCATTTATAAATCCTTATTTATAAACCCTAACACATCATAAACCCTAAACCCTAAACCCTAAACCCTAAACCCTAATTCATAGAGAAACCCTTAAATACACCAAAACCCTAAACCCTTGCAGTTTGCGTATGCCTGTATTGATATAACACCCTGCTTCTACCTGTGCTGCTGTTGCTGCTGTTGCTGCTGCTGCTGCTGCTGCTGCTGCTGCAGCTAGATGGAGAGGAGCACGTACTGCATCTACGTGTCCCTCCTGGTTCTGTTGATGCCCTTCGCTCTCCTTTGCTGCTTGTACCTCATGATCTTAGATCTATGAAGTGCTTCCTTGATGGATAAACAGCAGCAGCAGCAGCAGCAGCTGCTGCTGCTGCTGCTGCTGCTGCAGTAGCAGCAATAGCTTCTGCTGCTGCAGAAGCTTCGGCTGCTGCAGTAGCTTCTGCTGCTGCAGTAGCTGCTGCTCCTGTAGTAGTAGCTGCAGTAGCAGCTGCTGCTGTAGCACTTTTGCTGATGCAGCAGCAACAGCAGCAGCAGCAGCAGCAGCAGCAGCAGCGTTAGTTGGTCGATTTGTATGGCAAACAAAAGACAGAAATAAAATATTTAATTTTATTTATATTTATTAATTAATTATTTATTAATAAATACATATAATAAATAAATAAATAAATAAGTAAATAAATAAATAAACAAATAAATAAATTAATTAGTTAATTAATTAAATAAAACAAATTAATTAAAAATATTTCTCTTATTATAATATTGCTGCTGTGTCTTTGCTGCAGCAAAAGAACGCTGACGCAGCAGGATCTGCTGCTGCTGCTGCTGCTGCTGCTGCTGCTGCTGCTGCTGAGGTTGTGCACTACCCCACAGAAGAATTCCTGGCCTCTTAAGGCCAAATGCCGCCATAAATGTAGCAGAGAAGGCTGGCATTTGCTGCTGCTGCTGCTGCTGCAGTTGCTGCTGCTGCTGCTGGTTGTTGATGTTTGAGTTTGCTGCTGCTGCTGCTGCTGCTGCTGCTGCTTGTGGGGAGGTGCTGCTGCTAAAGGAGACACCTCTTCTTCTATGCCTAGGGTAGCTGCTAGCAAAGTGTAAGGGGACAGCAGCAACAAGACTCAAGGGATCTTTGCTGCTGCTGCTGCTGCTGCTGCTGCGGTTGCTGCTCTTGCTACTGCTGCTGCACCTGCTGCTACCCCTGCTGCTGCTCCTGCTGGTGTTAGAATTTGTTTCTTCTTGTTTATCGGCTAAGGGACTTCGCTGCTGTAGCGCAGCAGCAGCAGCAGCAGCAGCTGCTGCTGCTGCTGCTGCTGCTGCTCTTCTTGTCCTCAATGAATTGTCTCTCCTAAATATATTTCCCTTAATAAATATATTTGTATCTAAATTGTCTCCTTTTATTCTTTTGTCTCCTTTCTTGCTGCTGCTGCTGCTGCTGCTGTCTCCTTTTATATTATTATCTCCTCTTTTGCTGCTCTTGCTGCTCCCTGTATATCTATTCTCCTCCCTGTCTCCTTTTTTCTTCTTTTCTCCCCTATAAGTGTCTCCTCTTCCTGTGTCTCCTCCTCCTGTGTCTCCTCTTCTTGTGTCTCCTCTTCTTGTGTCTCCTCTTCCTGTGTCTCCTCCCCAGCTATATCCTCTATATATGTCTCCTCTTCCTGTGTCTCCTCTTCCTGTGTCTCCTCTTCCTGTGTCTCCTCTTCCTGTGTCTCCTCTTCCTGTGTCTCCTTTTTCCTTGTTGTCTCCTCTTCCTGTGTCTCCTCTTCCTGTGTCTCCTTTTCTTGTGTCTCCTCCCCAAGTATATCCTCTATAGAATTCTCTTATAAAAGTGTCTCCTTTTATATTATTATTTATATTTGCTGTCTCCTCCTCTGCTGCTGCTGCTGCTGCTTGCTGCTGTTGCTGCTGCTGCTGCTGCTGCTGCTGCTGCTGCCTCTGTATCTTCCTGCTGCTCGGTCTTGCTGCTGCTCTCTCCCGTCTCGTTAGACAGAGGTGTCTGTACAACCTACAACAGCAGCAGCAGCAACAACAACAACAGCAGCAGCAGCAGCAGCAGCAGTAATGACGTCAGCAGCAGTAACAACAGTAGCAGCAACAGCAGCAACAGAAGCAGGAGCAGCAGCAACAGCAGTAGCAGCAACAGCACCAAACACATAAAAAAAGTTAGTAATAAATAAATAAATAAATAAATAAATAAATAAATAAATAAATAAATAAATAAATAAATAAATAAATAAAATACATAAGCAAAATAGATAGATAGGTACATAGATAGATAAATAAATAAAATAAATAAATAAATAAATAAATAAATAAATAAATAAATAAAATAAATATATAAGCAAAACAATAAAATAGATTAAATTTATTTATTTATTTAAATAAATAAATAAAATAAAATAAATAAATAAATAAATAAATGAATAAATAAATAAATAAATAAATGTTGTGTACATAGCCAAAGAATTTCTGTCGGATTTCCTCAATGATAAATCACCGCCACCAACATCCTGCTGCTGCTGCTGCTGCTGCTGCTGCTGCTGCTGCAGATCCTGTTGCTGCTGCTGCTCCACATCCTGCTGATGCTGCTGCTGCTGCTGCTGCTGCTGCACATCCTGCTGATACTGATGCTGCGGCACATGCTGCTGCTGCAAACCCTGCTGCTGTTGCTGCTGCAAATGCTGATGCTGCTGCTGCTGCAAATGCTGCTGCTGCTGCAAATGCTGCTGCTGCTGCAAATTCTGCTGCTGCTGCAAATTCTGCTGCTGCAAATTCTGCTGCTGCTGCACCTGCTGCTGCTGCAAGTGTTGCTGCGGCAAATGTTGTTGCTGCTGCTGCTGCTGCTGGTAGTCATTTGCCTGATAAAGCTGGCGGATCGTTTGTTGCTGCAATTGTTGCACTAGCAAGGGCTGTTGCTGCTGTTGCTGTTGCTGTTGTTTCTGTTGCTGCTGCTGCAGTTTGTGCTGCTGTTGGTGGTCATACTGTTGCTGTTGCTGTTGTTGCTGGTGTTCTTGCTGCGGTTGTTGTTGGTGCTGCTGCTGTTGCTGCTGCTGTTTGTCCTTCTGCAGGTACTGCTGCTGTCTCTCTTGTTGTTGTTCTTGCTGCTGTTGCTGTTGCTGCTGTTGCTGCTGTTGCTGCTGTCTCTGTTGTTGTTGTTGTTGTTGTTGTTGTTGTTGTTGTTGTTGTTGTTGTTGTTGTTGTTGTTGTTGTTGTTGTTGTTGTTGTTG